TTACGGATTATGACGAAAAATTGTCACCCGTTCGGAACTCCTTAGCGTTGAATAATATAAAAGTATTGTTCAATCAATTTTATTATTCAACGGGTGGTGCACTAACTCTGTGTGCCGAATGCATGGTTCGTCTGGCGGACACTGACATTGGAGTATTGCCATTAGGAAGCACGAGATAGATACTCTCAATGCGCTAAACAGCCAATTTTTGCTCTAAGTGCCAACAATCCGTCTGTATGATAACCATGCAACATGTGCCCAATTTGCACAAATTGAAAAAAGACAACATTGTGAACGAGTCATATGCAAGTGGAAGAGTGTGATGTGATATAAAAACAATATGGAAAGTCATTGGAAGAATGAACAAGTTCTCCGTTATGGGATTCAATCTCTCATCTACCAGTGAACGTGGCGGTGTATTTTATAAAGAGACACTATACCCCAACTCCCCATTTCCTGATTCCTCGTCCAAGAGTTAAGAGACGCTACAATTCGACTCTCTGCTTTTCCGCTCCTTCTGAGAGAGCGGAAATAATTCTGGAAGCGTGCACATATTATCATTATAGAGGACACGCATACAATATATTACTACCTCTCTCGCGGCAAAAAGTAGCAGAAATAATTCCAAGAAGCGAGGATAATCATATATGATTGTTCTATTCCCATCAATCTCTGAACATGTCGGAAATACAACGCTTTATATACTGGCTTCGAGTTAAAGCAGCTATAGAGAAAAGAAAAAAAGAAAGTAAAAAAATGTAAAATTGTTTTGATGAGACAGTACAACAATTTAAAAGAATCAAGATTTCGCAATATGGAACACCTAGAGCAAGTGGAACGCGAGCTGCTGGAGCAGTGCAGCCAAGTCGCTACTTTGGTGAAGTGTTTCGCGTGGTTGCAACGATGTGAGGAATGCAACTCGAGGAACTTAGCCGTGTTAAACGTCCTCGACGTTGCAAATAGACAATCTGCGGTGGCGAGGATCGCGCGACTCGCGGGTGCAAAAGTACAATTAGAAAGATGTTTCATGCACGTTGATGGTACGCAAGTAAAGACACTGGATCTCTCGTTTGACGCGAGATTGATACGGCATTTGAAAGCCATATATTGACAGGTGCGGTGATCAATGTGGATTATATCGAGCCGCGACAATTTTTAAAAGACGCTGGTGTAGTGCTCGAGCGAGTGCGAGACATTGTACAAAGATACGATAGTGTGAAAGTGAACACTGCATTTAACGGCGAGTTTGTGATGGACGATAAACGCGCGAACAAAAGTATAAACACTAAAAATAGTGAACTCTTTCGAGTGTCAAATTTGGACGAGTGATACAAGCAGTATGTTATCGAACCCACGTTGGCGCCGCTCGAAGAATTCCAAGAACGCGACAGTGGATGGGATTGTAGCGAATTCTAAATTTGACTGTAAACGTGAACAAATATAATCCAATGCACGCGGAATGTTACATCGAATTACCGCGGGAAATTATGTTAAAGCGAGCGGTGATCAATGTATGATCCAATGACAATGCGTGTTTCGCGTGGTCGGTAGTCGCGGCTCTGCATCTGGCTGAAAGGAATACAAATCGAGAATTGTCGAACCCGCATTATACGACAGTGTTAAATTTGCAAGACATTACGTTTCCGATGACGTTAGATCAAATAAAGAAGTTTGAACGAATCAATGACATCTCAATCAACGTTTACGGCTTCAAGGGAGGAAAAGAGATTCTCCCGATACATCTGACATCAAGGAAGATGAAGAAGCAAATCTATTGTACGTGCAGGATCCGCGCAACGACAACGCGGGGCACTTCACGTACATCAAAGATCTGTCCCGTCTTGTGAGTTCGCAAATAAACAAGAAGAAATGCAAAAAATTTTGCGACCGGTATGTATTTTAACAAATTTTTTATTATTTCTCTTATAAAATTGTTTATTAAAAAATCATATTTTCCGTTTGCAGATGCCTACATTACTTCAATTCGTCTGAAAAATTGCAGTCACATACAACGGACTGCGAAAAAATAAACGATTGCGCCATCCGACTGCCGAGCGAGGACGACAAGTGGCTCGAATTCAAGAACCACATGAATAAGGAACGACTTCCATTCATCGTTTACGCGGACTTGGAGTGCGTATTACGGCGAACGGAACCAGCAGAGAGGGAAGAAGTACGCATCGTACACTTCTATCAGCAGCACGAGGTATTTAGCATCGGATACTACGTGCGATGCTCGTACGACGACGCGTTATCGATATATCAATTTCGTCGCGACGAAGACTGCGTGGTTCATTCGGCAATTCGAAGATTTGGCGCATCAAATCAAAATTCTGTTATCCGCGAATGTCCCCATGGAAACGTTGTCGAGAGAGCAGTGGGAGGCATATCGTAGTGCGACGCGTTGTCATATTTGTGAAAAATCATTTACGTCGGACGACACGCGGGTATGCGATCATTGCCATCTTACCGGTCGTTACCGTGATCCCGCGCACTCAAATTGTAATCTAAATTATAAAGGTTCATATTGCATTCTCATAGTATTTCACAACTTATCCGGTTATGACACACTTTATCATCACGGAAATAGCTACGGCGTTCGAAGGCAGGATCGACGAGCTGCCAATAACAAAAGAAAAATATATTTCGTTTACAAAACATGTTCAAGATACCACCGGGAGATCAGATTCACGAAATTGCGTACGCCTGCGGTTCATAGATTCGTACAAATTTTTAAATACCAGCTTCGATAAATTAGCATCTTTTCTAACGAAAGAAAAATTGAAAATTTTACGTTCCGAATTTTCCACGGTATCAAACGAAGATTTTGACTTGTTGACGCGTAAAGATGTCTTTCCCTACGAATACATGGATCGCGCGGACACGCGTTTACCATCGCGCGAATCATTCTATAGCTCGTTGACCGGTGACACGGTGTCGGAGAACGATTACGCGCACGTCTGGCAACGGTTCTCCATCCGAACGCTCGGCGAATACAGCAATCTATATCTCAAGACCGATGTCTTGTTATTGGCCGACGTTTTTGAAAATTTCCGCGAAAGTTGCGAGTTATGGACTCGATCCCGCTCATTACTACACATTGCCAGGCTTCACGTGGGACGCCATGCTGAAACATACGCGTGTAAAATTTGAGTTGCTCACCGACATCGATGATTATGTTTATCGAACGCGGTATACGCGGTGGTCTCAGTCAATGTTCCGGCAGATACGCGCAGGCCAATAACAAGTACATGTGTTCGTACGACCCGTCGAAACCGTCGTCGTATTTGATGTACTACGACGTGAACAATCTGTACGGATGGGCGATGTGTCAACCGCTGCCCTATACCGAATTTCGATGGTTGAAGACGTTGAGAACTTTGACGCGAACACGATCGCTCCAGATTCATCTACAGGTTATATTCTCGAGGTCGATCTCAAGTATCCGCATCTCGAGTATCTGCACGATCGACACATTGACCTATCTTTCTATCCGACGCGCGATAAACTACTCGGCACGCGGCAGGATAAACTTCTCGCGACGTTATATGATAAGAAGCGGTACGTCATCCAACCTGCAGCAATGTACGCGCCATGGTTTTCGTATCGCAAAGATACACCGCGTACTACAATTTGCTCAATCCGCCTGGCTCCGCGATTACATCGAACTCAATATACACTTTAGAACGTGCGCAAAAAACAATTTCATAAAAACAATTTCGAAAAAAATTTGTACAAATTAATGAACAACGCGGTATTCGGTAAAACAATGGAAAATGTGCGCAATCACGTCGACGTTAAATTTTTGACCAAATGGGATGGACGGTATGGCACGGAAGCAATGATTGCAAAACCAAATTGCCACAGCCGCAGCGTCTTTGCGGAAAACTTAATCGCCGTCGAACTGCGTAAACTCGAGATGAAATTCAACAAGCCGATTTACGTGGGTATGTGTATACTCGAAAATCTGCTTGTACGAATTTCACCATGTCACCGCTGGATCGCGAGAAATGTAAAATCATATACACCGACACGGACAGTCTCGTATACCACATCCAGTGCGACGATGTGTACAAGACGATGAAACGCGATATCGCTAGATTCGATACGAGCGATTATCCACCGGACAACGCGTACGGGATGCCTCTCGTGAATAAAAAAGTATCCGGTCTAATGAAGGATGAGAATAACGATGCGATGACAGAATTCATCAGACTCAGAGCGAAGATATACGCGGTGAGGGTGGATGGCAGAAAAGACATTAAAAAGGCGAAAGGTGTAAAAAATAACGTCGTAGCGCGAACAATAACGTTCGACGATTACACGCGGTGCTTAAATGAAGAGATCGAAATGACTCGTCGCCAGTCGTGTATAAGATCCAAGCTACATCAAGTATATACGGTGTCCGAGTCGAAAATCGTTCTGAGTCCGTACGATGACAAACGATACATCATACCGGATACGACGGAGACGTTACCGTGGGGACATTGGCGGATTTCATTATAATATACATGTTTATACAATGTACATATATTTTATATATTTGTATATGTAGTTTATATGTATGCATATATGCATGTATGTATGTATGTATGTATGTACCTATGTATCATATCTATGTACGTATGTATGAACGTATGTATTCTTGTAGTTTTATACTGTTATATATGTAGTATAGATGTATGTATTTTTGTAGTTTTATATGTAGTTTTACAATAAAATTTAGCTGTTCAAATTTATTTTATATATAAAATTTATAATAGCAACCAAGATCCTGCTTGCTGAGGAATTAGCTTTAATTCTCTCTTCGATTTATTTAATGTATACTCGGCTTAATACATATATTGTTTATAATACATGTAGTTTTACATGTGTTCTCGTAAGTTGTATATACATATATAATGTATGTATATACATTAAATAATAAATATAATGTATGTATATACATTAAATAATAAATATAATGTATGTATATAATTTAAAAAAATGTAATGGAAGAAAAAAATAATAAAACTCTTACTCTCTAATAAAAACTCTTTGTATACATGTATACAGTGTATATTTATTTTTTAATACATTATAAAAATAAGAAAAATGAATTAAATCACACTGCTTTTGTTTATCCATGAGTTATGCAATCTATCGAATCCCAGCCACTTGACGTAAACCTTGTCTCCCTTCCTGCGTAGTACTTTCTCCACGAGATACACGTCCGGATGAGTCGCGCGATGCAATTCGTGCTCGTAGAACGCGTCCGCGACCGATTTTTCGCGATAGTCCTCGAGCAGATAAGTTACGGGATTAGTACGCTACACTTTAACGATCTTAAACATCTCGGTGATCTGATTTGGCGTGTAACCTTTTTCGAAAACTGTCTTGTACTTGCTCATGAGTACCGATTCGCCTACTTTGAATTTTGCTGGACCTGCGATCTTTATCGCGCTGTATATCATATTCAAGAGTCTTTTGGCGATCGCGGGAGTTACGTCAACGGGTCGATAGTGCGATGCTTGCGCGCGTTGTAATCTGACACGAGACGTGGTAGCGCGTCGACCCACTTGTAAGTGCCGTTGAGCGTAAACATCTTCCACATGTCTTAAGCGTTCTTAAGCATGCGATTGAATCGCTCGACGATCGATGCCTTCAACCGTATACGTGGAATAATGATTAACGTTATGTTTTTTCAAGAGTTTTTGCACATCGGCATTGTAAAATTCCTTTCCCATATCCGTTTGCAAATTTCTCGGGCATCTTCCGCTCTCTCGAATTATCTTAGCGTTAGCGTTAGCCGTCTCGCTTCCGACCTTGCTCTTGAACGATACGGTCCAAGCGTATTTGCTTAATGCATCGATGACGGTGAGTATGTAGTGACCTCTGTTGAAACTCGAGTACGGACGCATCTCGACGATGTCAGCCTGCCACAGATCGTCGAATCCCCGAAATTCCCGAATTATAACACGTCTTCGCGGAAAATTTCTCCTCGCCGGAGCGTGCAATTCCTCAACGAGTCGTCGCCTCTCGGAGCTAACATTTTTTTCACGTCCATCGGATCGCATGTCGACGATGTTTAATAGTAAATAAGATATAATAAGATATACAATTTAAAATTGGTTTTTTCCTCACTGACGTTAATCGACTGGCTCGTTTCGTCGATACGCGATTAATTTATAATAATGTCGGCTTCGCGAAGTTCCTCGATGATCGACAGCATCTCATTGTGGTGAGCGTTGTTACCAGCTCGGTGCGAAGCGTCGAGCAATCGGAGTCGATCCACCAGTTCGTTGGGATCGTCCCAATGCACGTAATCGATCTTGTTGTCATTTAACTTTATGGCGGTTAGTATATTGCTTTGCCTGCACCTTTTTTACCGCTACTTCCATACGTAGATACGAGCGGAGCGATGATGTTAATATACTTGGATCCCCTATTGCCCTTGATGGGATTATGGGCGCTGTGACGTCTATGAGTATTTGTTGTTAACAATACACTTTTATACATTTGTCATCCTCGGTAAAAACCGCGTCAGTCGCACACCCTCCCTTCTTATTCGGGGGCTCGAGCCATGCTTGATGCAATCTCTCCTGTCGTGCTCCAGGAGGATTATTTGTATATTTGCCAATGGCGTTGGAGGATGTCGCCGCTGCAGTCCGACCTGCATCCATCGAGTGAGAGACCAACATCGCTCTGGAGTACCGGTCGTGGGGATTCGAGAAAATGTGCATATATATATATATATATATATATATATATATATATATATATATGTAATGCTGTAATATATGTTAATATGTGTGTATGTCATTGTATTGTTGACTTGTTGTTCTAAACACGTTATTGTGATAAATATCATCACATGTCTCGGTAGTCGAAAGAATAAAATGCCTGCCCGGTAAGCAGGAGATCCAGGTTCGATTCCTGGCTGAGGTGGTATTTTTTCGCAAAATAATTACGAATTTTCACGACTGGTTCGTGGTCGGGCCCCGCCGTGACGCACACCCTCCCTTCTTATTTGGGAAGTCTCTTGAAAATCAATTCGTACAATCCTGATGTATCACATCATTGTATCTCACATTGTCTATGATTATGGAGTCATTTTTGTCAACGTCAAATTTCTTGTCACCAAGCATCGCACCACTGTTTTTATCGAAATAAACACCGTATACGCGATCAAATGTATCGTTTTTTCCATCGTTTTTATCATCGAAGAAAGGGTTTACATACTTTTGCCCTAATGGTCCCAGTTGAGTATGCAACGCCTCTCGACCTTGTTGCGTTTGCAGACTCTGTTTGATGGTTGTTTCGAATAACGGTTTACTGACGTCTTTTGTTTCGAAAACGTCTTCCTTTTGCAGGAACAGCGGTGGTTCTTTCGATGGTTGTATCGATGTAGACTCGAATACGAGTGAATCTGACGCGGCTTTCAATTCTTTCGTTATACGTCGTTTTTTAGACTGCGGCGTTAATTTTAACCATCCAACATCCGTCCAATATGAATTCTTGTCAGTAGTAGTAATATCATTGTCGTCATCGCTGTCTTCACATTTTTGTTTATTCTTAATACCGAGATCCTTTGTTTCTTTTTCAATCGATTGAGATTCCTCGGTTTTTTCAACAATTTGTTTTAGAGGTTCGACGATGGGCTTGAAGCGTTTCTCCAACGCTGTATCTTCAGCTATTTTACCAATTTTTAAAGTGTGATATTTTTTGCGAATCGAATCGCTCGTTTTCGCAATCTGTTTCGCTATTTTCTCTCAATCTTTGGTATTATCCATGTTGCCTGTTTGATGTATCGACATCGATTAACTACGTTACGGTACGGCGAACGTAAATAAATTCCTTTCTGTATCGCATTGATAAGCGAACTGTCCTTATCTATCACTAGAAATCCATACTCGCGCTGCCAACAATCGCGGCATAACGCATAGAATTCATCGTATGACATGTCGGTATTCACGTGATCGTTGTAAATATATTTCAAGTTGGTACCATCCTGTTTGAACAGAATCAGCAAGTTCGCATTGTCGCGTATCAGATGTTTATGTATCTTCGCGTACATCTGACAGAGATAGAAGCAATCGACGTTCGAGTGGCCCATCGAAAAATATTCTCTCACAGCATCTTGCTTATCGCACGCAACGTCGTCGAAGACGAAGATCGAATTGGGACGTGCCTCGCTCGATGGAATGACGTCACTGTTGTTGGAAAACGTAAAGTAGCCAATTTCTTCTATCGATATCAACAAAGTTTCGAGATATCGATATTTCGATTGTTGCAACGATTTCGAGTATACGTACACGAAACATACACTGTGCGGACTCTCGAGCAAGCTTATGAGAACATTGGTTTTACCACAATTCGACGGCCCGCAAATGATGGCGCGTATAGTACTCGGTAACATTTCACCAAGCTTGCGCTCCGTCGCGATGTCTCCCATCATTCGCGCTCTCTCGTCACAGTTCGCGACGCGTATCGTCAGCGGTTGCCGTACAAATTTCATGTTCGCACTGCGTTATCTAGGCTTCGATCGAATAGGCGCGCGAAACCACGAATCGCTCAGTAGCAAAAATGTATCTCGCGCTGTCGCATCCCTCCGATATTCAGGATTTGAGCGCTGAGCAGTTGCAATATATACCGAAGGTCATACTGTTACGCATGTGCGATAATTATATCGACTACGTGTGGGACAAACTTCCGGAACATATAAAGACGGATTTGGAGGTTCAAACCTATCGTCGCTGCGTCGAGCATTATAATCAATCGTGGGATCGAGATCATATAGACGGTCCTGCATCGAAAATAAAGGATTGTAGCGCATGTCAGCAGCAGCGTTGAACAAAAGCTGTGGTGGAGATCTGCTCAATCGAGCGATAAATGCGCTTCCTTTCGAACTACATATATAACAAATACTTCCAACGACGAAACGAGGTGGTGTGTTACCGATTTTACTAATTTTGGGCGCGCTCGGATCTTTGATCGGCGAAGCGGCCAGCGTGACGAAAGCGGTAAACGATAGAAAAGTCGCGTAACGTCACCTCGAGGAACTGCAACGTCGCGCGATGGAAACGCGCGGACGGGGACTATATCTCGCTCCGTACAAACGCGGACGAGGAGTAACAGCGAAAAAAGAAAAAAAACGCCAAAGAGACAATAAAAATACCTACGGGTGTAACGTACAATTGGACCAGCTGGCGAAGCGTATGCGCGTATCATACTTTAGAGGCGTTTTTATGCGTGACGCATTACCAATTAGCGGCGCACGTCGAAAAAGAGCGGTATCGTAAATCTGGACGACACGATGGGCCCGGCACTCATTAGGTAGCGTACGCAAAGAGAAACAATCGCGTTGTGTAATTTGACAGTTTCGGTAATCATCAACCGCCCAAGGAACTGATATGATATTTCGGAGACGATGCTACGATAGAGTACAATCGAACGTCCTATCAGACGTACGATCAGAGCGTCTGCGAACAGCTGTGCTTGTGGTTTCTTCTCCAAAACGGCTGACG